CGTTACAAGGGAAAATGAGGCTTCATTTGTCTACATGGTAAAACAAGTAAGTTTCATCTAATTACCCAAATCATCTGTAAGTTAGTATAGTTAGGCAGGAGATTTTTTTGTTAAAAAAAAAATTAAAATTCTTTTACTTTTGTTTATTGTGATATAGAACTATAGATAGTGGAGAAATAACTTTTGAGAAAAGAATAAAAAGACAAGAATTTGTTAAGTGGGATTTTGGAATTTTCTTTCTGAACTTTATGCAATCAGTTATTATATGATTTTGGAAGAAGAGAAAAAAATTTTACTTATTTTGGTGGAGAATCTACGTAGATATGAAAAAATTCAATTAGATTTGCTGACTTAATGCAAAACATTATAAAGGCCACAAAGCAAGACGAATTGAGCTACCTAAAGACTTGTTTAATTGACTCAATAAGTAATTTTCCATAAATTTTTTATTTTTAAAATGAATTGATCAAGGATATTACATGACTGTTAAGAAAATAAAGATGGACTGAGTTTGGGCATCAATTTAGTTTACCTTAGTATGGCCTTTTGTAGGTGATGTTATCAAGGGTTTGATACACCCAACTCCACCTAATAAACAACAAGGCAGATCATGGATTATGTTAAACAAATAGAGTTTAATTAATGTCAACTAGGTTTGATTTGGAACTAATCACTCTTTAAATATTGATTTTAAAGTGAACAGTTAATCCCACTTTTAAAGTGCATTAATTATTTTTCTCAAGCTAGTAAGATCTGCAAATCCGGATTTGCACTGCTTTTAATTGATGGTTTAAGTAAATCACAATCATTATACCCACATCACTTCTCATTGAAATTAGACAATCCCTGCTTCAATTTTGCAAAATAAAATTTACCTAAAACAAGTGTTAAATTACTTAATTATCACCGTTGTTAGTGATCAATAATTAATGACCTAATGAACCAAACCCCAATTGTATTTTTGATAAAAATAAATCTTCATATTAGCACCAATCAATGATACTGGCTTTGCATGTGATCAAATAAAAAATTTAAATATAATGTGAGCTACTTCGAAAACAAAAGAAAATCTCATTGGATGGACATATAGTAGGCTATGATTCAATCTAACATTTGCAAAGTTTGGAAGCTACCGAATACATGTCCCAAGTAAGTTGCTACACCATAAGCTTATGATTGATGTATGTCCAATAAGTCACTATAAAACCAAACCCTAATTACGACATTCTGGCTATAAACAAGTACCTTAAATTCGTGTAATGGGACATTTTTCCCTAATTTTTGTGACTTCATCTAAGAAAATCAATCATTGATTGTTTGTTCATCTAATCTCAATTTCATAATCATATTTTATTTAAGTGCAATACACATGTACATCCTTAATAGAATCCAATAAAAATCACTAGTGAGGGAAGAAAACAATTAATTAAGCCAAATGAATCAAGAATTTGAGCTATCTATTGAATAATGAAATGGAAAATAGCATTCCAACAAAGAACATAGCCCTGAAATTGATGAAGGGTGCACGTTCGAATTATTATTCTTCCTTAGATTATGGGGAGGCCTCCCATGTGAGGCCCGTACACAATACCAATCTTTTTTTGTCTCTTGTTTGGCTCTATGCACCTTTTCTTTTTTGCTTACACGTGTGCCCTTTCTTTTTATTTTGTTAAATTTTTACTTTTAATATAAAAAATAACAAAAAATATATTTTATAATTTAAATTATATTAAATTATAAAATATAAATGGTTAAATAAGGAGTGAATATTTACTATTTAAGACTCTTTTTATCTTAATTCAATTAATATTAAAAACTCTTTTCTTATTTTACGATCAAATTAAGAAATAAAAATAAAGGGTATCAACTTTAACCAATTCATTACACCTAAGAACTAGTTTTCCGGATTTAATAGTTCATTCTTGAACTTTAGTATTTAAAGGTTAATTAGTTGAGAGTTTGACTCTAAATAACTACTTGAAAATTTCTCCTTTTCCCATAATTCTCTATGTTAAAAAAAATATATATATTCATTACACCTAAGATCTCTCCATATGGCCAGCAATTAGTAATCGGAATTGTATTTAACTCAATGGATTCATAATGGACAGCCACAATTGCACAAACGACATTATAGAGGGATTTTTTTGTCCCATGTTTACTGGCTTTTGGAATTTCTATGGTTGTTTATGAGCAAATTTCAATTAGATTAAAGTACATACATGTCTAAAGACCTGATCAATACAACAAAAGCAAATCCATCATGTCTAAGCTATAGCATGTCCCCATTCCTAAGGATCAAGCGCAAAACCAGCCTAACCTCATTCAGGCATTTTATCAGATATAGAATGTGCAGAGCAAAAATGAATTCTAATATCCTATAATCTTCTTTTGTCAAAACCCAAAAATATTTTTATTGTGATTTCTAACAATAAATTCCATCCCAAAACCCTCAAGAATCAGTATAAATCATAAAATTGTGTACTTGAATTCACCACCTATAGATAAGCACGACCTCAGTGAGACGTGTTAATGAATATTTATATGGACAATGATTCATGCACCGGCCAGTTCAACACCGACGGGTGCACATTCTATGAACCAAATAATTTTAAAAGTAAAATTACAAATTTAACCTAAAAACATCTTCTTCCTCACTAAACCCATTTCCCAAATGACAGCAAAATCAAATCATTTGAATCTCAACAAAACTCAATCGAGCATTCAAGCACTAAATCCATCCCTATCCTCATAATCTGCAAGACAATTAGCAACTGTATTGGTTCCCACCTTCTTCCTCTTTTTTTTTTTTTTTCATTTTTTCTCCCGAGTTCTCCAAGAGAACCTAGATCTAGGTTTCTCCAGGAGAACTCGATCTACGTTCTCCAGATGGAGAGAGAGAAAAAAAAAAAAAGGAAGAAGGAAAAAGGAAGAAAATAATGAATTTGTTAGAAGAGGGAGATGGAGAGACAAAACAAGAAAAAGGGGTACAGTGAGGAAAATGACTTTTAAAGGTAAATTTGTAATTTTATTCTTATAGTTATTCAGTTTTATAGAGTATGCATCACTGGGTGTCAAACCGGTGGATGCACTTAGCATTTTCCTATTTATATACAAATTCTTATGTTCTTGTGGAAACATTTTAGTAATTAAAATTTTAAAATTTTATATTAAAATTTTTTAATTTAAATTTTAAATAAATAAAAAGAAATTTAAGGAAAAAAAGAGCTCTCCTACTTAATAGTCAGTCTACCATGTAACATTAAAAAAAAAAAATTACATTTTACTGTTTAATATTATTATTGTTATTTTGATATTAACTTCTTGTTATCAAATAACCACATCAAATCCGATTAATTTAAAATCAAATCATATCTAAATCTATAAAAAAAAAAAACACACAAATGGAATTCCTTCGACCCGAATGAACATGTCAGTTGGTATGTTATTACTGTTATTAAATATAAAAAAAATACTGTAAAAATGAACTTCCAATTTAGAAAAATAAAATTCTGAATGGGGTGAAGACAGTTGCCATTTTCCTTTCTTCCCAGGTAAAGACGCAGTCTCCATCTCACTAATTCAGCCCTTGAAGTCACGTATGAACCATAAAAATATAACAAAAACCAAACTATATAAGCCAACCCTCAACTCCCCAAGCTATCTCTCTCTCTATATCCAACTTTTTTTTTTTTAATATTTTCTCTTCCTCTCTCAGAGAGAAATGGATCAGACACCACCGTTATCACCGCCGGAGCTAGACCTGGACAACCTCAAAGCCTTGAAAATACTTGGCAAAGGCGCCATGGGCACGGTCTTCCTTGTCCACGACAAGGCCAATTACCCCACCGCGCACTCCCTCTTCGCCCTCAAGGTCGTCGAGAAAGCCAAGCACGATGCAGAACGTCGTGCTCGCTTGGAAATCCAGTTTCTCACCCGGCTCTCCCCTCCCGACCCTGCCGACCAGCACCCCTTCCTTCCCCGCCTTCTGGGCCGACTCGAGACTTCTGAGTTTCTCGCCTGGGCCGTCCCCTACTGCTCCGGCTCTGACCTCAACGTCCTCCGGTACCGCCAAACTGACCACGTTTTCTCCCCTGCCGTAATTCGGTTCTACCTCGCCGAGATCCTCTGTGCTCTGGAACACCTCCATTCCTTGGGTATCGTCTACAGAGACCTCAAGCCTGAGAACATCCTAATACAACATTCCGGCCACGTTACCTTAACGGACTTCGACCTCTCCCGGACCTTAAAAAAGAAACCGTTGGCGGAGATGTTAGCAGAGGAAAAAATGAACTCGATCTTGCTGCATGACGTCCCAAGTCGACGGAAGCACAGACGAAATTTGACTCGATGGATCCCAATGGTGCCGGATTCCAGAAGCAGTTTGAAGAAAACAAAATCAGCCCGAGTCAGCCCGGTAAACAGGAGAAAGCTCAGTTTCATCAATGGAGAACGATCCAACTCGTTCGTGGGCACCGAGGAGTACGTGGCGCCGGAGGTAGTCCGTGGAGACGGCCACGAATTCGCCGTCGATTGGTGGGCTCTGGGGGTTCTAACGTACGAGATGCTATACGGAACGACGCCGTTCAAAGGAAAGAACCGGAAAGAAACGTTCCGGAACGTCCTGATAAAGGAGCCAAGCTTCATCGGAAAACGCACCGCTTTAACCGACCTAATCGGACGGTTACTAGAGAAGGATCCAACGAAGAGATTGGGGTACCTGAGAGGCGCGTGCGAGATCAAGGAACATGTGTTCTTCAAAGGGGTCAGGTGGGACCTACTAACCGAGGTGTCACGACCACCGTTTATCCCGTCGAATGACGACGATGACTTGGCAGAGAAAGTAGCGGGTAGCGGCATCGATATACGGGAATATTTCGAAAATCTCAAGGCTCCGCCACCGTCAATGCCACCGTCGACGTTACCGTCGCCGTCGTCCGACCATCGACGGAACGTTTCTTTCTCAGAATATTGATGCACGTGTAAGCGTTAGTTAATTAGGTAGAGTAATTCTTTTTTGTTTTTCCTTTTTTTTTTTTTCTTTTTTTTTTTTCTTTTAATCTTTACCCTTGATCAGTGTATATAAAATAACGGCGGAACACGGAAAACGGCGGATTAGTATAAAGCTACAGACGGTTAAAGCTGTATTCGTGAATTGTATAAACGGTTATTATACTTTTTAACCTTTTTTGAAGTTGATTTACTTACGCGTCCAGGTGGCGCG